GTTTGTGGTGTTGTCGTTAGTTTTCGCGGGGGTGGAGGCGGCGCAATTTCGTGCTGCATGTTGCCATGCATGGTGTCTCCGAAAAAAAGTTCCGCTTGGAGTACGGGGTGCACTTCAAAAGTGTAGTCGCGCAGGGAAGTAGAACTCATGTAAGAGGCCTCCGCGAAAGCGGAAGTAACGCTGCAAGTGTCCTTGCGGTTGTGCGTAGTTATATACATTCCTCCGCGCAAACCCACTGCACACTGGTGTTCCACCATGTCAGTAGTTCACCAGATAGTATTGTGGATGGTGAGGAGTGGAGCCAGAGCTAACCACCATAGGCCAGCTCCGCTACCAAGTTTGAGAAGGGTTGGGAGGCCCAACCAGCAGCTTCGCCTAAGGCGAAACCCATACCAAACTCTGCTCTACCGTAGTAACGATAGACCCATAAGTCGGGCCATGTTGAGCGAAAACGTTTTCGGTCTCAACGGCAAGTGGTGTGCCTCGTGTCAAATTTTGGCGGCCGCTTGAGTACAAACGGCCGCGGACAAGCGCTCGCTATCTCTCGCGTTTGCCCCAGCTCCTTTTAGAGTCCCTGCCCCAAATGCGGCCGGTGCCGCCTCGCTCGGCGGCTGAAATCCGCGATTTCCAATGGAAACGGGACCCGTCGCTAATCCACGCTCCCTTACTTTGCGATCGTCTGAGAGAGAGCGAGTGAGGGGCTCGGCGGAGGATCCCCGGAAGTTTCCCCCATCCTCCCTGACACCCGTCGGATTGAAGCATCGAGGCGATTCCAAGCATGATCGCGTCGTGCAAGAAAAGGTTTTTCGACGGACACCAGAACCTGATGGTCGGAACATGATCATCGGAACAGGATCGCCGCGCCCCCAAGCAACACAACGCAAAGGTATTTCGGCCCTTTTCGGCATTCGGGGGCCCTCGCCGGGCCCCGGGTCCGACAGTAACAGATTCAGGATGAGAGGCCGGCCCCGGGGAGAGGGTCGGGACTTCTGGGGACCCTGTCTGGAACAAATCAGAGCGTCGCACGCCTGGGGCGGCTTTTGATCGCTTTCGGCCTCTCGGGGCCCTTGACGGGCCTCGGGGCCGTCGAAGAGCGACTCGGGATGGAGGAGAAGTCGGGGGCTCGTGTCTCGTAAGGTCGAGAGGTCGGGGGATGGATGGATGGATGGATGGATGGATGGATGGATGGATGGATGGATGGATGGATGGATGGATGGAGAGTCGGGGATGGAGAGAAAGTCTCGAAAGGTCGAGAGGTCGGAAAGGCGAGGATGTATGGAGGTCGGGGGTCGGGGGCCCGTGTCTCGAAAAATCGAGGCGCCCGGTGTGTGGGCTCCAGGAGCCTCGAGCCAATCGAGCCGGCGGCGCGCCCGGGGGGGCAGGCAGAGGGGGCGGGCCCTCTCGGAAGGCTCGGCAGGCCCTCGGCCTTCTTGGAAGCCTCCGAGGCCGAGGCCGAAGCCGCGCCGCCTTCTGAGACGGCCTTCCCCCGCACACTTCCCCCCCTCGGCGCGCCGCCGACGCTCTGTAGACGGGGGAGGGGTCCACAAGGGAAGGGAAGGAACCTGGAAGAGGAAGAGTGAAGAGGATGAGAGGGGAACTGAGGGGAAAGCGCACATTCTGCCTCGGTGGGACACCAAAGGGACCAAAAAGCATTGCGCGACGAGACCATGCACCGTGGACATGTAATTCTCTCGCTGCCACTGTCCCCGCTGCCCCTTTGCCTCTATGTTCTGCCCGGCGCAGTATTAATCCTCTCTTGCATCGGCAACTCTTGGAGCCGCCAGGGGGCGGAAGCTGCTCGGGCGGGAGCGTCCAGCCCGCCCATCAAGCCGGCAGCCTGAGCAGCGTGGTCAGCAAAGCCCGACTTGGCTCGCTCGTGCCACGCGTTTCGGCCCTCGGCGGCGCTTCCGGATCACTACCTGCATACCGTCTTGTCGGCTCTTGCGAATCGACGCTGGTCGACGCTAAATCGACGCTGCTCGACAATCACCGACGCTAAATCTGCGCTATATCACCACTAGAACCACGCGCGCGCTTCGCGCGCGCTTAGGTTCTAGCTAAGAGGCGAGCTTGAGTCAACGAAAGTCGCAGGGAAGAGGGCAGGGGGAAGAAGGCCAGAGAGCGCTGAAGGATACAAATACTGGAACCCTCTTGTGATTTTGTGGGGGGCCTCGTCCGGCCGCTCGCTGGGAGTTTGACGTAGCTTCTCGGGAGCCTCTGAACCTGTCGGGGGCCTCCTGGAAGCAGGTTCGAAGCATTTTGGGGGCCGATTTGGGGCTTCTCGGGGCCTCCTTTGGGCCTCTTGGGGGTCTCCTGGGGCCTCTTGAGGGGCCTCCTTGGGGCCTCCTGGCGGCCTCTTGGGGCGGAAGGCTCGAGCTTGCGGTTCGTGGTCCCCCTCTGGGCCCCCTCTTGGGCCCGTCTTGGGGCCCTCTTGGGCCATCTTGGGCGCCTCTTGGGCCGTCTTGGGGCCCTCTTGGGCTGTCCTGGGGCCCTCTTGGAAGCTTCTTGGGCCGTCTTGGGGCGGTCTTGGAGGCCTCTTGGGCCGTCTTGGACGCGGTGAAAGCCCAAGATGCGAACATGCGAAAAATATACGTTTTCCCATAGGAATGGCACGATTTTTGTTTCTTGGACCTCTCTTGGGGTGCCTCTCGGAACGTCTTGGGCTGATTTTGGAAGCCTTTTGGCGCCTCTGGGCGGCGTTTTGGCGCCTCCTGGGATATGTTGGGCCGGAAGCTCGGAATTCGAGAGTGGCTTTCTCCTTCTGGGACCCCTCTCGAAGTCGCCTTGGGGTTCTCTTGGGCCGTCTTGGGGCCGTCCTGAGCCACTCGTGCGCAGCCTTGGAGCGCTGAGGCCTCCTAAGCCGTCTTGGAGGCCTCTTGGGCCGTCTTGGACGCGGTGAAAGCCCAAGATGCGAGCATGCGAAAAATATACGTTGTCCCATAGGAATGGCACGATTTTTGTTTCTTGGACCTCTCTTGGGGTGCCTCTCGGAACGTCTTGGGGTGCTTTTGGGAGCCTTTTGGCGCCTCTTGGCGGCATTTTGGCGCCTCCTGGAGCCTCTTGGGCCGGAAGCTCGGAATTCGAGGTTGGCTTTCTCCGTCTGGGACCCCTCTCGAACTCGTCTTGGGGCTCTCTTCGGCCGTCTTGGGGCCGTCCTGGGCCACTCGTGCGCAGCCTTGGAGCGCTCCCGGAGGCCTCGTAGACCGTCTTGGGCGCCTCTTGGGCCGTCTTGGACGCGGTGAAAGCCCAAGATGCGAACATTCGAAAAATATACGTTTTCCCCTAGAAATGGCACGATTTTTGTTTCTTGGACCTCTCTTGGGGTGCCTCTCGGAACGTCTTGGGCTGATTTTGGAAGTCTTTTGGCGCCTCTGGGCGGCGTTTTGGCGCCTCCTGGGATATGTTGGGCCGGAAACTCGGAATTCGAGAATGGCTTTCTCCTTCTGGGACCCCTCTCGAAGTCGTCTTGGTGTTCTCTTGGGCCGTCTTGGGGCCGTCCTGAGCCACTCGTGCGCAGCCTTGGAGCGCTCCCGGAGGCCTCGTAGGCCGTCTTGGAGGCCTCTTGGGCCGTCTTGGACGCGGTGAAAGCCCAAGATGCGAACATGCGAAAAATATACGTTTCCCATAGGAATGGCACGATTTTTGTTTCTTGGACCTCTCTTGGGGTGCCTCTCGGAACGTCTTGGGGTGCTTTTGGGAGCCTTTTGGCGCCTCTTGGCGGCATTTTGGCGCCTCCTGGAGCCTCTTGGGCCGGAAGCTCGGAATTCGAGGTTGGCTTTCTCCGTCTGGGACCCCTCTCGAACTCGTCTTGGGGCTCTCTTCGGCCGTCTTGGGGCCGTCCTGGGCCACTCGTGCGCAGCCTTGGAGCGCTCCCGGAGGCCTCGTAGACCGTCTTGGGCGCCTCTTGGGCCGTCTTGGACGCGGTGAAAGCCCAAGAGGCGAACATGCGAAAAATATACGTTTTCCCATAGGAATGGCACGATTTTTGCTTCTTGGGCCTCTCTTGGGCTGCCTCTCGGAGCGTCTTGGAGGCTTCTGGGACCTTCTTGGTGTCATGACAGGCGTCTTGGAAGGCATCTGGAGCCATCGGAGCGCGTTCCGAAGCCGCCTGCGAACGATCTTGGACGGCGTCCGGCGGTCCGACGAGCCTCCGGGCCCCCCGGGGCCCACATTTGTGGTCGGGGTCCCGGCCCCGGGCCCCCGGACCCGGTGCGCCGTTATATGTATACTCCTTGACGTAGAAAACTACATGACCAAACACCGTCCGCCCTCCGAGCAAATTCCTCGGGTCGGCGCGGGACCCGACCCCATCCCCACAGTGGCGCCGACAAGTGGAACCAACGAGCGTGCCACGCAGCCCGAGTCTGCTGACTCGATGTCTCTCCTTTCCCTTTGCTCCTCCCCGTTCTCTTCTATGGTGTTGTGGGGGCAGCTTGTACCAGCATCTGGAGGTTAGAGAGCAAAGGCCAATTGACAGGAGACGCATGGCAAACCGAAAGGTCATGAATTCATCATGCACCTCGGGAAAGGCCACAAAGAGGAGCTGCTCGGTCAGCAGGGCTGACTGAGAGGAGGACGAGGATGGGGGAAGAAAGGCAGAAGGAGGACGACGAGAAAAGGGGAAGAAGAAAAGGAGGAAAAGAAACCAGTGTACGTAAACAAAAGAAACCGGCAAGCAACCAGTGCTCTCCCAGCGCAGAAGAAATACTCCAATGATGCCCTCTGGTGGAGACACAGAACGAAACCATCTTTCACCCCGAGGGCCCCAGAGGTCTTCACCTCGTCCCTCAATTCTTGATGGTCCTTGGGCTGGAGAAGACATCGGATGCCGAAATCGATATTCAAAGAAACGCCACGATAAAAATATCCGCTGGAGGCCTGGGGACATGCACATGCACACGAGCACACGAGGCCTTCAATGCGCAGCTTGATCCAGAAAGGAACTCATCGAACGCGTGAGGGCGAGCGGCGGTGAGCAGGGAGCGCAATGCGGATCCGTCCTCGTCCTTGATCTTCTTCTCCTCCAACCACTCCTGCATCAATACCACGGGGTCCTCAGAGAGACACCCTCACCCCCAACGACTGGCCATCACTGCAACCAAGCGAACAACGTGCAATCGTATGCAACTCAGGGCGAACCCGCGGACGGGCGCGTTGCCGTTCTGGTGGCTTGGCCTCCACTCAGTTGGAGAGGATGTTACCATGCAACGGGACTGATTTGTGTGGAATGGCATGCTCCTTGCAGCATGCTCCTGTCAACATTTTCAGCCTACAGGCGAAGCTCTACTCTGGACGGCAGACGACACAGCCCAGGGATGAGCCGAATACGCAACATGTAGTAGTGGCGCTGTTGCAAAAGTCCTCCAAACACAAGATGGACACTTGGGCTGCACGTGACTATACACAAAGCGGAAGATGCGGCTGAGGAGGGGTTGGACGCCCGAATTATACAGAAAACTGCTGTCTGGGGAAACTGCGGTTTGGGCCCCCGAGGCGCGAACCTGTAGCTACCCCTGACCGCCCCCGGCCCTGATGACTCGGGAAGGTTGGGCGCCCGAACTAAACGGGATCACTGCGGTCCGGAGTAATTCCGGGTTGGGACCCGGAGGCGCGAATCTGTATAGCTGGGCCCCCGATGCGCGAATCTGTAGCTATCCACGACCGCCCCCAGCCCTGATTCGGGGATGGACAGACCTCCCTTTAGTAAAACGTGGTTTAGTGAAAACGACCTCGGGCCCAAACCTGGCGGGCGCACGCCTGGAAAATGACGGCCGCGGCAGCCTCTCGAGAACCGAAAACGGACAATTCACTAATCGACGTGGCAGGGTAGGAGGTCTGTCCACCCCCGACTGATGATTCGGGGCTATGATGCGGGCGCGCAACCTCGGCTCCGGAGAGAGCGGGCGGCGCGCAGTGGGGCCAGGGTGAGGGGGGGCGGCTTGGCCCCCAAAAAGACCCAGGAGGCCCCAAGCGGCCCCAAAGAGGTCCTCAAGGCCCCCAAGAGGCCCAAAAGAGGCCGCCAACACGATTCAAAACTGCCTCCGAACGGCTCCGCCAGGCCCTCAAACAGCTCTCCAGACGCCCAAGCAACCCACGACGCCTCGACCGTGGACTCACCGCCTCTTCTGGGGTGTCGGCGAAATAGCGTAAACCTCTTTGATAAGGGGACCCCTGCCTTCCTCCCAGACCCCCCCCGCTATGATTTACTCATAACGTCGACTCTGGATGTCTCGACACATTGCCAGGGACCGGTTTTTCATCCTGAACCGTCTTTTGACGGTCCCGAGGCCCAGTTAAGGGCGCCCGGAGACCAAAGCCAGCGAAAAGCATCCCGTCGTGATATTTTCATGACTCGAGGGGGTCTGGACTGGGAGCCTGCTCCGCTGGCGCCACCACACACCCGAAATTGCAACACCAGGGCCTGTCCTGGCGGCTTGTTCCGCAGAGGGCTCGGGGGGAGGGGGGCGAAAGGGTGAGGAGATAGCAAAGGGCAGGGTAGAGAATCAGCTCACGTAGCTGGTCATCCTGGCGCCTCCTGGCGCTCGAAAGCGCCCATGTATCGAGGAATGCGCCCAGCGGCGGGGCGGAAACCAGCTGACTTCGTAACCCGCCCTTTCCCCATCCTGCCCTTTCCTCCGGCCCGAACGTGGACATGGATGTGCTCGCCGCTCCTGTAGGACCCTCTGATCCTGGCGCTGCCCCCAAAAAACGCCACCGATGACCCACGGAGCCGCAGACCCAGTCTTTCTGAATCCTCTGCCGAGCCGGGCCCATCCGTGAGGGTCCCCGGGTCCATCTGTCAGGATCGCCCCTTTCCCTGCCCTGCCCTAGCGTGCGGCCCGATGCAGGGCGCACTCCACGCGCGCACAGACCGCCGAGACTGACCGGGGGGCCCTCACTTAGGCCCCAGTGGGAGGAACGGGCCACTCGGGATCCACCAAAGGGGGGAGGGACCCTGAGGGGCGGCGTGAATTCGATCCGCTGGTGCACCGAACTGCCGCAAGCAGATGCCCCCTGCATGCCCTCCTGTCGGCGCCTATCGGGAGCTGCCGGCGGCTGGGGGGCATCTGCTTTGGGCGGTTCGGTGCAAAACCGACCGAGCTCACACACACACACACACAATCCGGGGCACACCCCTCCCTTGCGGGATCCCAGGCCACGTAGTTACAGGAGAGCGCGTGCACTGTGCCGGGCCCCAGGATGGCCTGGACCCGGCGGCGGTGAAGACGAAGCCAAGATGAGGATAAAAATTCGACGGGGGTGGAGCGGTGAGTCGGTGAGGGCCACGTACACAGGATGGCGCGTGCATAGTGCTGGGGCCGAGGCTGGCCCCGAACAGAGACACGGCGGCGCCTAAAACAAAGCCAGAACGAAGATAAATCCGGACCAGGGCGAACCGAGAATCTCTGACATCCGGAGGCTCGGGAAGATATCTCGCACACGGCGGCCGAGCGTTCCACGACGCTCTGAGCGCCTTGTCCTTGTCCTAGCCCCCACCTCCACCTTCCATACCTTCCGACCTCAGCGGAAGGTGCGGAAGAAATCATCGAAACTCATGGAAGCCGTACGCTTTTTCAAAACAAGAACCACATAGATCATATGGAAACAGGAGCGGAAGGTTAGGGCGGAAAGTCCGGAAGAATGCGGAGGTAATCAGCACACAAGAACCCCCACCCCGCAAGAAACCCTGCCCTGAAATCCGCCGAGGCTTCTTGGTCCCGGGTTGGGTTTCCTGTACTTCGGCTGCAAACGAACAAACCCAGGGTACCCTGACCCGAAAGGACTCCTGATCGCTTCTGGCTAAAGCCCCGCCCGAGTGGCGGAAGACGTGGACTGCGCCGTCTGCGCAGGCGTTCCGAGCCGCACCCAGCCGCGGCGACGGAGCGGCGGCCCAGGAGTCCGGGAGGCAGGGCTGAGCCGAGCCGTGGGGGAGGGGGCGCGAGTCAGGAACGCTGACGCTTCGGGTCCTCGTGGCCCATAGCTTGCCTAAGATTAGAATGAGCGAGGGGGGGGGAAGTGAGAAGGGGCGGGGGGCCTTCTCAGAAGGCTCGGAGGTCCCCCAGCCTTCTGAGAAGTCTCCTGAGCCTTCCCCGGAGAGAGAGAGAGAGAGAAAAAAAAAAAAAAAAAAAAAAAAAAAACTTCTTCTCAGAAGGCGCGAGGGCTTCTCAGAAGTCCAGCCGCCTTCTGAGAATGCCTCCTCCTCACTTCCCCCGCTCGCTCGCCGATGTGGGCCCGACTTTGCGGGGCAGTCGACCCGATCAGAAGTCTGGGGCCCAACTCGGGGATGCACCAGGGGTCGCAAGCGGGGCGTCCATCCTCGACGGGGGTGCGTCGGCATGGCCACCTCGGGGTTCAGCTCCGAGTTCCCTGAGATCCGACGTCGCAACAGAAAACGCAACACCGTAACACATCGCGGCCAGAACCCTGGACCCCATCTTCCTGCGTCATCTTTCGAGCAGGATCGATCCGTGAGGGTCCCCGGCCCCGAGGCAGGGCGAAAACGCCCAGTGCGAACACGTCGCATCGCCAAGATCTCAGAGTCAGAGTACTGCGTAGCAGACCCCTTGCCCCGAGCGGCCAACTCTCCTGCTGGGCAGAGACAAACCGCCCGCGGGACAGCTTCGCGCACTCCTCCGCTGCGCTCGCAGGCGTGGCCACTCGGCAGGAGCCGCATCCATGCCCACGGCCTCGCAGGCCGGGCTCCGGGAGAGATCCAAGGTTGCAAAAAAACAAAACCCAGATGGACCCCAGGAGAGATCCTGGGACCAATGTTGAATACATCTGGTTTCCCTCCTCCTGACTTGCTTTCTGGGGTCGCATCCAGTTCAGACCCCCTGGCCGCCTCCAACGTGGGCAAGAACCATAGCCGTACCCGCGGGCTCGCAGACCTGGCCCCTGGTCCGCGACCCCGTGGATGCGACCTCGCGGGTGCCCCGCGCGGGGGGGGGGGGGCACGCTACCACACATCCGCAGGGTCGCGCCTCGGAAACCAGACCTCGGGGGCGAGAACATAGATGTCCTCGCCGCGTTTGAGGGGCCCTCAGATCTGGCGCTGCCCAAAAAATTGACCAAACATCACCACCAGAAGCGCAGACCCTGGATGATTTGTCGAGCCAGATCGATCTGTTTGGGCCCGCGGGCCCGAAACCAGGCGAAAGCGCCCTTGGTGCAAAACGTGCAACATCAGGATCTCAGGGAAGAGGCCCGGTGAGGGGTCAAAACCAGGGCCGCGCAAGACCCGACGCCTGGTGCTCCCGCCCGGCCACAAGAGAACGGGGACGACGACGACGAAAACCACAACGACACGTCGACGACGACATAGGCGGCGGCGACGACGACGACGACGACGGCGACTGACGACGACCACGACGACCACGACGACTTCGACGACTACGGCGGCAAAACGGCAGCGGCAGCGGCGGCGACGACGTCGGCAGCGGCAACGACGACGGCCGTGACGACGACAACGATGAGGACGGCGACGGCGGCGGCGGCGACGGCTGCGGAAGCCGCGGTCACGACGACGACGACAACGACGACGGCGACGACGAGAGGGCGCTCCGGCGGCATGCGCTGGATGCACTCGGCGACCTCCCGGGGGGCGGGCGTCTTCTTTGTCACAGGCAAGAAGAGGAAGAGCACCGAGGAAGTATCAAAGATCCCTGTCGCCGCGGGGAACCCATCATCGTGGTACGGCTGGACGCCCACTTCGCCCTCGGACAAGAGCGAGGGAGCAACAAGCCGCGGGCTCCCGATGACGGCGTCACTCGTACCCGTTGCCCCCTCCCAGGGAACGAGCAATTACATGCGTAGCACTCCGCATATGCAGATAAGAAGGGTAAGGGAGCGGCGGGGTCGTCGGCAGTTTTCGGGGATGGACAGACCCCCCTTTAGTAAAACGTGGTTTAGTGAAAACGACCTGAGGCCCAAACCTGGCGGGCGCAAGCCTGGAAAATAACGGCCACGGCGCCCTCTCGAGAACCGAAAACGGACAATTCACTAATCGACGTGTTACTGTTGGGGTTCTGTCCACCCCCGAAGATTGCGAGGCTCTGAAGAAGCCGGCCGCAAGCGCCGCCGTGGGCGCCGAATCCGCAGGACCCTTGTACATCGAGAGCGCCGGAGGCGCCAACTTTTCGTCAAGGCCATCTGGGTGTGTCGCGGGTGGATCACGGGGTGAGTCGCGTGGTGTGTCGCCGGGCGCGTCGTCGCGGTTCGGCGCCCATCCACTTCTCTTCTTTTTTATACATTCAAATGTGGAAATATATAATCAAATCAACCGACGCTTATGCATACGTGTGTATCCGCAGAGCCCGGCCTGTCAGATGTGGGATGATAGGCTGTCCCCCCTTGCCCACTCCCCCGGAGTCTGAGATCCGACTTGAGGGGGGGAGGGTGGGCCTTCTGAGCTCACCAACGCTCCCCCGGGGACTCTGGAGCCTTCGTTTCTGAACTCTGTGGTCTCCAGGCGGCAGCAAGGGAAGGCGCCAACAACGCCACCAGGGCGAGTAGATGCGAGGAGGCAAGGGGGGTATCCCTGGTGATGTGGTCCCCACCCTCTCGCCCGAGACGTCCCAGCCTCCAGCTCGGGGAATCATCGTGGACCTCCTCGCTGGAGGTGGGCCCCTCTGGTGGTGTTGGTGTCACTTCTCCTCCCTCCGATCCAGGATGCCTAAGAATCGATTTACGCTTGCTCAAGCGGAATTCCAACACGCAAAAGAGTCCTCGACGACGGCCGAGGTAGCCTCACGACTGCCAAAGAGGCCTCAAAGACGCCCCAAGAGGGCGCTTAGACGACCCCTTGAGAGGGTCCTAAGAAACACAAGTCGTTCAAATCCCGTTGGAAACAGTAAAATTCGAACATCGTCTCATTTAGGGTCTCAACAGCACCCAAAACCTCCCATGATCGCTCCAAGACGGCCAGAAAAGCCCCCAAGCGGGCCCAGAGATGGTCTAAGAGCGCCCCAAGACGGCCCAAGAGGCGCCCAAGATGGCCCAAGAGAGCCCTAACAGGACCCCGATAGGGGCCCGAGCGAACTAACTCGATCTGACATTCCGAGCACTCAGCCTCACGAGGACCTCCGAGACCGCCAACATGCGCCCAAAAAACTCCCAAGCGGCCCGAAGAAGCCCGCGAGAGGCCCCCCAAAAAGCCCCCAGAGGGCCCCCCAAGAGGCTAAACAAAACAGGGCGCCCGTGGACTTCATCCCATGGTTGGGGGTCGGCGGAATGACGCAAGCCTCTTGAAAAAGTATATGACGAGACGATCTGTTTTCTAGCGGCTATTGCTTCTGTGTAACTTACTCTGGCAGTCTCAGCGCCGCCTGGACTGCCGACAGGAGTCTGACGAGCAAAGTGCAACTGCACCCAGACTGGCAAGCGTGCACGTCAGACACAAACTGCTCCACTCCCTGTGACCAAGGGCGGCACGAGGGCGGGTGATGAAGAAAAGCGAGGCTTGAGCACAAACGGTTGCGCATACAGCGCTGCAAGAGGACTGGCACGCTGAGACGGTTTCCGTTTAGGTGGACATGGAGGGGTAATCAGGGCCCGACACTCGAAAAACCTCAGCACGTCATTATCGTGCTACGCACACCCATGACGAGACGATCTGTTTTCTAGCGGCTATTGCTTCTGTGTAACTTACTCTGGCAGTCTCAGCGCCGCCTGGACTGCCGACAGGAGTCTGACGAGCAAAGTGCAACTGTACCCAGACTGGCAAGCGTGCACGTCAGACACAAACTGATCCACTCCCCAATTCTGTCCCAAAGCTGGCGTGGGCCAGTTCACACATTTAGATAGAGGGACCTTATGGGGGCTAAAAGGGCAGCCGCGAGCGAGCGAGCGAAAGCGACGGGCATTTCAAAACTGTTCAAACTCAGAGGGGCCTGGGTGCCTTCTGGTTCGAGGTCCCTGGATCCGCAGCCCGTCGAGATCTCGAGATGAGATACCTGCGCACAAAATTACCCACGGGAGACGGTGATGACTACCGAAAGCACTGAGCGTGTTATCTACTCGAGTGGTTGCGCAGGCAGCAAGCTTGTGCAAGGCTGGCCTCAGCGCGGCTGAGGTGTCATAGTGCAAGATTAGGCAAGGAACAAACGCTCTGGCGGCCGCTCGCATGACTCGTTGGACGTGCGACGTGTGACGAGGGCTGAATCCTGACTCAACCAAAACGCCTAGGAGACGCTCACGCTGGAGATCGCACACTAGGGATCTGGCGAACAATGCGTCGGGGCGCTCGTCATATAAGCATCTGACTTTAAAACCTGACGCGCGAAGCGGCCGCCCGATCTGCCGACTGTGTGGTCCCCAGACGCAAATCCAGCGTGACACGACGCCGCGGCTTAAGGGAAAACGGGCACGGCCTGCCCGTCCAAGAGCACTCCCACGAGCCGAGCCTCGCACTGCTTTGCGTGCGCCTTGAAGCTCTCGCTCAGCCTCTCCCAGGTCTTGCTCAGCAACGCGTGCTTCTCGTACCGCTGAAGGCTCTTGTCTGTCTTCCAGCCGCCGCGACGCTTGATGGCTGCCATGTCTCGAAACCCGTGGAGGCGGTCGTGGGAGGCTCCTGAGTGCCGAGCCTGGTATGGTACCACATCGATCTTGAGGCGGTTTGCCACGGTCTTGAACGAGCGGGCCAGCTCGGGGTAGCTGAAACGCCAGAGACACTCCCCAGCCGTCCGCGACTTGAGGGCCTCCAACAGTGGGTGGAGCGACTTCCAGAAAGAGTGGTCCAGCATGCAGCTCTGGTCGAACTCGTTCACCTTGTTGGCCACTCCCCCCTCGTACGGGTTCAGCGTCACTCCCCACAAGCCCGTCACGGAGTTCGGGGCTATGAGGTCGTCGGGACGCATGGCCAGCAGGCTCCCAGGCCTGCAGTACGTGCTCCACATCACGAGCACCGCCAGTCCCATCTCGAGCTTTCCGTCCTGAACCAGGCCGTTGATGATGGCTGCCCAGACTGCGAAAGCCTGAGGCACGCGAGCCCGAGGCGGAACCACGTTGACCCAGCCCTTGAGCGCCCGCCAGCTGCGAGGCAGGCCCTGGCGCCCGACCTTGCCGAACTGCGGCATCACGTGCATGACCGAGGCAATGACCTTCATTCCTTTGGACGGGGCCTCCCCCTTCAGCCACAGCTCCTCGAAGTACATCACCAGCAGCTCGTCCAGGCGACTGGTGTCCACATCCTGGATCCGATCGACCTCGGCCCACTCCGCGAACGATGTGAGCTCCTTCACGTACGACCTCTCGGTGCGGACCCTCACGGCGCGCTGCTCCAGCACGCTGAGCCCGTGCAGTTGCTTGTCCCTCTCCATCACCTCCTGCAGCCACCTCTCTAGACGCCGCTTGCCGCGACGCTCGAGTCGGCGGGCCCGATCGGCGCGCTCGTCCTGCGCGTCGGACTCGCTCGAAGTGGAGTCGGACGGCGCGCCGCGCTTCTGGGCCGAGCCACTGGTGTCTGGCCTTAGGATGCCGTGGCAGTCGGCCGTCTGATCGGCCAGGCGCGGTGGGGCTGCAGGGACTCCCGCGCCCAGCAGCGCCCCGCGACCTCCGCGACCCTTGACCAGCCCGCGGCTCCGTCCTGCTGCGACCGCCGCGAGGCTGCGGGCCAGCGTCCGCTCGCGCCGCTTCGGCGCGGCGGGTGCTCTCGGCGTCGGCCAGACCGCCACAGCTCGCGCCAGCGTCCGAACTCTTCGAGGCCGACCCGAGTCGCCCATGAGCAGCGGACGAAGAAGGATCTGGGAGACAATCAGAAAGACGTATGGTGCGTGCTTCATGGATGCTAGGCGTTTTCTGAGCCGAAGCGCCTGCCGACGGGTGACAGCGCGGATGCACTTGCTTTCGACCAGGCTCAACCTGAGGTAAAAAACCGGCAAGCCTCAAGACTCTGGGACGCTCGGGGGATCGACCACGAGCCCAAAGACATTCGGACAGCTTCAAAGGACGTCGATGGGGTGCGATACGAGGACTGTGGTCTCGCTCCCTTTCCCCCTCCACGTCACTTGTTAAACTTCGTGCTCTCAAAAAACTACGCTGATGACCCCCCTTGCTCGACACGGGGGGCGCAGGAAAAGAAACCTCCCCAGGACTCTCACGAGGTCCTTTCGCGGTCCCCTGGGACGGCGGGTGTGAAAAAAGCCGAGAGGGCCAGTCCGCGGGGTTTCGCTCCGAGGGGATCCATCTAACCGTGAGACGGACATTCCTGGCGAGGCAAAGACACGCAAGCTTCCTAAGGATCAACAAAAGCTTGTAGTTTCTGGTGCGATATCTGTCACAGCAAAGCACAAGCGCGAGATTATCACAGAACAGGAGCTGTCTGAGATTTCGACCAGGGCGAGAGAGGAGGATGCGCTCGGCGCCGATGAGCAAGGCGCGGGCTTCGAGCAGCAGAATGTTTTCCTCAAAAGCGAAAGGCCACCCCCCGCACACGTGCCAGGCATCCTCGGCCAAATCGGAGGCCGATATCTCCTCGAACTCGGCAGAGGCCTCGAGCCCCTGGGCTCCCACCGCTCCAAGGGCCTCGAGACTGTCACGGTGCAAGAGCGGGCACGAGTCAAGCAAAGCGGCAT